TTCTCTGATGGAGGATAAAAATGCTGATTTGAGCATTGGCTGGCCCTACTGTTTAGACTAGATCGCGTTCAAATATCACCATTCTGAGTATGTAAAGAACATGTGGTACGAGAGTTTTGAACGACGGTGGATGTTTTACCCTTTTTGCCTGGACTTAACTTTGGCGGTGTAGGATTTCAACTCCTAGGTTTGAGATCAAGAGGGTGAATTAGACAAACTCTCACGGGTGCATTGAGTCCTTTGTTCCGACTGTAAGTCTTGGCTGCAATATGTAAACTTTTCGGAAACTTCCCTAGCTTTTGCATACGAGCTGCAGCTCAACTAACCAACTGGTCATTACAGGCCTGTACATCGTCATCGCCTGCGGCCGTCTTCACTTTCGTGTCCTCACGATTTACTGGACATCGATCCACTGGACAATGAGGGAGTCTGCGCGTACAAATGTGGAGCCGATGTCATGTTCAGCAGTGAAGAAAAGGTGAGTATTTCGAGCCTTGAAAGGGAGAGGGAGTACCGTTAACTCCGTAGACAGTAGTTACTATGAATTCCGATCAAATGCAGCCACCTCACTCCCTGGGTAAAACTCAAAGACAAGAGTATTGCCTCGGTTGAAACTTTGTGTACCCGATTAGGAATCGAGTCTACCAGTCTCATCGCAGTGAAGCTCGTCCCAAACTGAGCGTGGACGCCCAGGGAGAATATTCACGTGACGTGTAAGTGCTGGAAGAAAGTGGCACAATTAGCCATCGAGGAGCTCAGAAAGAGGGCCCGGTAGCGTAATGCTTAGCGCAACCGCACGGAAAGCGGGAGATGCGGGTTCGAGTCCCGTCCGTGGTCCGACTTTTGCCCATAACTCAGCATTCTTGTGATAACTTTCGGATCGCGCACTGCGGCGTTAGAACAGCAGTTATCAAACCAGAGTATTTGAAGTCTCTCATCGTTTCACAGGCCTATTCCACAACAGTTATTTGGGGGAATATATGAACTTATAGGTGCTAAGCAACTTTCCAATGGAGGGAAAAAACCAAAGGAAGCCGTTGAAAACGCTTTGAATAAGCTTTCTTTTCTGCAACCGATTCTGGGCACTGACTGTGTACTAGGGTTCTCGATCATGAGGCCCGGAAAAAGGGCCCAAGATGCAGAACCCTAATGTCCTTTCTACGTATAGTTGGGCAGTAAGAATAATATGAGCTCTTGGGCTGTGGAACTGCCAACTTTATACATGGGGAAGATTTTCTGCATGGTAATCTTCACCTCTTTATCCCACACTGGAGTAAGAGTCTCTGTTCGTGGCATTGTGGATAAGAGTCCAGTTTGAGATTTGACCACTTTCCTATGAACGTTAGAGGCTATGCAAGACGAACTGTAGCACTCGGAGCTTAGTTGTTGACTGGTGCCTCATTTTACAAGTTTAGAGTATTCTTAAGAAAAAAATTCGACCGGTTAGATGTCAAATTGATGCAAGTTTGGCTTCCCCGCCCCGCTTCCCACGTCAAGACCGTGTTGGTTTGATAAGCTGCTACGTTGATGTGTTCTCTGTAGAACTAATATAATAATTTGTGAAATTTCAGGCAGCAGCACGAACATGGATGATTATGTGGGGCGGTTTCGACTTTTGTGTCAGCCTGTTCACCTTTCTGATTTTCATCGAACGAAATAGGTTTCGGTTCCTGAACGGTAAGTATTTGCGTTAATTCGTGCGTTACGAAATATTTCAGCGTTTTTGCAATATTTTTGCGTATGTATTGCCGTGATTTAAGTCCCTATCAGTTTATGACGATTACGTAACATTCGAAAGATTGAAAAGGAAAATGTGGATGATTTAACAGGCGTCCTGTCTTGGGACTTACAGCCGCACTTGGGACCTTTTAGTAGGGTTTTTTTTTTGGAGAAGTATCCATTCTTCGGGTATGTAAATACTGGTTCGCAGCCGTATTTGCTAAATGAAGCCAGAACTTTACTGTTGCGCTTACAAGATTCATTGAAGAAGCTCCTGCATTAATTTTTTCCGGCAAGGAGAGGCTTCTTCTTAGTTTAGAAGATTACGTGTTGATTTTGGAATGCGTGTGGCGAGACAATGTTTCTAGATTGCGCGCGATTTGCGCTTCAGATCGCGACGCGATTACTGATAAGTTTGCGAGGCGCACGACTGGATCTACTGATTGGTAGCCCTGAGATTGTCCTGGTTTTCACGATACCTGGGCTTCTACGATAATTATTGCTGACGAAATTTCGGTAGATATTCTGCATTTTGGACGTGTGAAGAGATACTCCTTGTTCGCAGCAGATGCTAGGGTGTGTCAGGGGAAGAGGAAAGCTGGGTGTGGCGCGGCGCCAGAACGTACCAATTGTGGTCGCTTGCCATCTCAGGATGGATGGAGAAGGAATGGGTCGCTAAAACCATGGCTCATGGATACGGTTAGCCATCGAGAAGTAAGATGAAGACTGTATAGTCGTCAGTCGAAACTAACGTATCGCCTACCGTCTCAGAATATGTATTTTGTGATAATCAGAAGTTTCGATAAGCGAAAACAAGGTTGTTTCAGGTCTGCTGATAGGCAACGGCGGGTCATTGAACTTATCATTGTTTTGAGGGTTTTCCTGGACCTGGAATCTATAACTATCGCAGTTGAGGGTTTGTAGGTTCGGAGCCGCGAATTCTCTCAAACATATACCTGCCTAGAGTAGTGAGCACTAGAGTAGTAGAAGCACATGGGCGTGGAGCCTGTACGCCTGCATGCGGGGTAGTCGAAAGGATGTAAGTTTTGGGCGGTATGTCGGAGCGTTCTGGAGATACGTTTTTGGGGCGTTCTTCCCAAATCCACGTAAATCGCAAGATTCCGGTGTCGCTTAGGAGGAGAGTGTTAAAAAATTGCAAATTTCAAATGTACTCGAAAGAGTTGAGGAAGCAGTTTCTTAGCGGTCAACTATATGACTGGTATTGTATAATAGTTTTTTTTATAGGTAACAGATTAGAATTATCCCTGGGAAAATCCTTGAGGTGTTGGGCATAAGGTGATTATGACCTGCTCTTATCGACCCGCTGAACATTTGATAATAGGTTATGAGAAAAAAGTACTAAAAGTCTATATATTATCCGTTTATGTGTAAGGTCGGAGGATGAATGATTGTAGGCGACTACGAAGAAACGTCGGGGCGGGGGGACGTAAGCGCGCACGCGACGCTACGGTGCGCCTGAGCTACCATAGTTTTTCCATTTTCCAGCCTCGGATCTCTCACCTCGCTCTCTCCCTCTGCCTGAAAATAGTGACAGATTGGGAATAACCATTTTTCAGATGTGTCTTCTACATCTCGCTCTGCTTCATGTTCTACTCAATATAAGTATAATCTTTCCCTAGTCTGCAATATTGGCCAGAGCATTGTAGATGAAGCTAATCAACAGGGCAAGTTATTTAGTATTCTATGGGAGTCAACTAGTCTATTTTCGCCCCGAACCTATCCCCTTTGAATTGTGAAGCAAAAAATTTCAATTTCCCATTCTGGTGAGTCAACTCTTTTCGCGACTATCAACTTTTGAAATTAGTAAGAAAATTTTCATTCCTATTATGCCACTGAATACGTGGTACAAGCTACATCTGTCGGAGATGGACAAGTCGTCGGACCTTGAACTTGAGTGGCTAGAGAGAAATGGCTTGCCTCTCCGTAATTATCATTCTATCTTGCGCCATAGTTCTTTATTTGTCAATAATGAGCTTTCTTCTGGTTTGTTCGCATGCTCAGCTCTTCCTTAACGAGCTCCCTCCTGCATGCCCTCCTAACGCTACCTGCATGCGATCACGCGCTCTCCAGCAGCTTACACTCAACCGTCTCCTCATCATGGTTTCTACCGTGAAGACATGCTCCGCGCTCTCGTAAGGGCGGACTCGGTCCTGTCATTGTCTCCTGATTAGTGTGCCTATAGTCTTTACAATTTTAGAAGGGTTGAGGTACCAAAGAGGAGTACCGAGAAAGTAGGGAGTGCTGCTCATTACTCGCGGCGAAACAGGCGTTGCCTGTAGGGCGACGTATGCAGCATCCGCACCAAGGACTCACTCAACGTGGCAGCGACGCTGCCAGTCAAATCTATCTCCCAGGTTGGCTTGTGCAGTCTGCAAACGATAGGGCATGTGACGCGGCGCGGACTGCAGCGCAGTCACGGCCCCTTTTCCCACCAGTGATGCGATCCTGAAGTACCTGTCGGGTCGCAATCAGCGGTTCCCACCTGCGGCCTTCCCACCAGTGGCTGATTCCTTCCTACATCGATCATTGCTCGATCACCATTGGTAGAGCAAGGCAGCCGGACGCGAGCTCGTGCCGCGCTGCGCTCTCCGCCCCTGACACATTGCAATGTTACAAACTATACAGGTGATCGAATCTGGCTGCGCTCCATGCCATTCCCCGTCACACGCCCTATCATTTGCGGGGATCGCGGCTGTACAGTGATGCCGGGACTAGAAGTAACGCAGCACATCCTAGTCTTGGTAGTCTAGGAGGCAGTCTTGGTTTGGCCCATACAATCGGCGATCAGCCCACTGTGTCTTCAAAAGATCACATATTCAGTAGAGCACCTCACAAGCTCTGGTTTCTAGTACCCTGAGAATCTCTGGTTTCTAAAACTTGGAGTAGTGCTGCATACTGTGTATGGGTAACATTTTCTCTTTCAGGCTTCGAAAACACGAACTGTTTGTTCTCGTTTGTGTTCACTTACTACTTTGGCACAGCAAGTTGTCTTTGGTGGCTGATGTTCGCCTTTACTTGGTAAGAGCTTTCAGACATTTTTTTATTGATTTCTCTTTTGAAGTGTCCGCTGCTACCATAATGCTCTTATATGCATAGAAGTAAGGACATTGCTATAACATTGCACTTAAGTATAATAGCTCCCTAAGCTTTCTTAAAATTCAAACTTTTGTTGAGGCATTTTTCAGGGGGTTTCCGTTTAACGATGCAGTAGGAGGGGCACAGCGTGTGCTGCATCCTCTCCAGAACATAAATGACTTAACGAGGAAGTGCTACAATATGTGGACTCCCGCAGCCAGGAATTACTGGCTAGTTTGTGCGTGTTGTTGAAGCGTGGTTTTTCAATACACACCACTTTTTGTGATGTTTCTTTGGAGTTCAAAAGGAGGTAGCAGTTTCCAGCATATTGCCCACCTGTGAGGAATCGTGCTCAGATCTCCTTGCCGGAGAAAAGCTTAGTTATCCCGCAGACCTTGTTCTTGATTACGGTAGAAGAGCCCAAACGTGGTAACAGTTTCGGAAAATTCTATTGACTTAAAGGCACATTCCGCGATGAAATAAGGCTATGGCTTCTCATGTGTGTAAGATGATCCGGAAGGTGATTCTGGGACTGTGCTACCTTCGAAAAGTGAAAACTGAAAAAAAAGTTCCGCTGGATGCTGACCAATTGGGCCCATTGTGAGCATCCCTAGCTGACTCCCACTGGCTACTGGCTTCTAGCTAGTGGCCATTATGCTATTTCGCTCCATTCCGAATGGTGAGAGCGTGGTGATAAGATAAAGGAGCTGATATCGTAATGATAACAACGAGGGAATTCGTGAACGCGCCTTCTCTTCAGCGTGCACGAGCAAGTTGGGTCGGCATGGAGTCCTATTCAGGGCATTTCAGACTTTTTTATGCTCTTTCTCCGAATAATCAGTTACCTAGCACTTTGTCGTTCGTGTTGAGTTCCGTTACCCGCAATGTGTGGTCGCGGGCTTTGCCTTTATTCTGTAAATGTGCAGCTTTCAGTAGCCACTTGATTTGTCTAACCGTTATCGCGTTCAAAAAAAACCACCTGGTACTGTCCCGAATGGTACAGTTCTAAAGGCTTTAGGGCACCATTGTAGTTGGAAAGGTCCACTGGGAAGAAATTCTTAGAAAGAGCGACATCTCGATGAGAATCTAAGCTCTCCAGATTAGGGTCTTTGCATCAAAATGAAAGAACGTCCTGCTCGTCACTTGGGATGTCTTGCTCGTCACTTGGGTACAAATGCTGCAAAGTCTGATGCAAAGTACTCCCATCGTGAGACCAAAGATT